GTTGCCAGCAGCGATGGTGTTCGCGCTGCTCATGGCCGTGCACGAGGCCGGCCATGCCATCCCCGCCAAGCAACTCGGCGTGAAAAGACAACCGCCTACATTTCTCTCCCCCGTACCTCCCCCTACATGCTCCATGCTCCCTTCTCACTGCCTCCCGCACTCCCTCCCTCCCTCCCCCCCGTCCCTCCCCCTCCCCCGTCCCTCCCCTCCCCCCCCTCCCCCTCGCCAGTCCATCAACGGAGTACCTCACAGGGCCGCTGCTGGAGGGGTTGCCAGCAGCGATGGTGTTTGCGCTGCTCATGGCCGTGCACGAGGCCGGCCATGCCATCCCCGCCAAGCAACTCGGCGTTTCCCTCAGCGTCCCCTTCTTTGTGCCGTCCTTCCAGGTAAGAGAGGGAATGGAAATGGAAGGGGGGGAGGGGGGTGGGGGGGAGGGCATGTGGAGGTCAAGTCAAGCCGTGCACAATGTAAGGTGGGCAGGCAGGGCACCTGCCATGCAATGGAGACGATTTTTGAGTCGACTAAAGAATCGTCTCATCACACGAGGGCATGTGGAGGTCAAGCTGTGCACAATGTAAGGTGGGCAGGCAGGCAGGGCACTTGCCATGCAATGGAGTTCTGTTGTATCTCTCTGGCAGAAGAAGAAGAAGAAAAAAAAACTTGTTATTCTTTTGAAGGGCGTTTTCCTTGCTTCCCGTTACATGTGTTGCACTGTGGTTCTGTGACAATGTTTGGGCCTTTCGTCTTACTTCTGACACACCCTATTAGCCCCGTCTGACCTCCATCTCTGATCTCCTGGTTCTGCTCCCGACATTCTGCCCTGTTCCCCCACCCACCAGCTGGGCAGCTTTGGAGCAGTGACGCATATCACATCCACCGTCAAGAGCCGCAGTGACCTTGAGACGGTTCAACATTCCCTCCCCATCCCCTTTCCCCCGCCCCTCATCCCCACCAGCTGGGCAGCTTTGGAGCGGTGACGCATATCACATCCACCGTCAAGAGCCGCAGCGACCTGGTCTCAGTGGCAGCAACGGGACCTCTGGCGCTCAGTACAACTCCCTTTTCCTACCCTCTGCCACCCTCCGCACCCCAATCGGGCCCTCCTCATCTCCCCCTATCACCCCCCGTCTTCCTCCCTTCCCCGTCCCCTTTCCCCCTCCCCCCCCCACAGGTGGGCAGCTTTGGAGCAGTGACGCGCACCACATCCACCGTGAAGAGCCGCAGCTGTTGTTGAGTCGTCTTAGAATCCCCTCCCCATCCTCTTTCCCCCACCTCTCAGATGGGCAGCTTTGGAGCAGTGGCGCGCACCACATCCACCGTGAAGTTCCGCAGCGGTTTTTAAGACGTCTTAAAATCCTCTCTCCATCCTCTTTCCTCCACCCACAAGCTGGGCAGCTTTGGAGCGGTGACGCGCATCACATCCACTGTCAAGAGCCGAAGCGACCTTGAGACGGTTTAACATTCCCTCCCGATCCCCTTTCCTCCCCGCCCCCTCATCCCCCTCCAGCTGGGCAGCTTTGGAGCGGTGACGCGCATCACATTCACCGTCAAGAGCCGCAGCGACCTTGTCTCAGTGGCGGCCCCGGGCCCTCTGGCAGGCATGGCAGCGTCGCTGGCGGTGCTGCTGCTCTCGCTGCTGCTGCTGCGTCCAGAGGATGGGATTTCCGTCAACGCCGCAGCGTTCCATGACTCCCTTCTCGTCGGCGGGCTGGGTGAGTGGGGGGGGCTTTTTAGGATAGCTGAGTCTTGAGGATGAGGCGTCTCAAAACTCGTTGCTGGCGCTGCTGCTGCTGCTGCTGCTGCTGCTGCTGCTGCGTCCAGAAGATGGTATCTCGGTCAACGCCGCGGCATTCCATGACTCGCTTCTCGTTGGCGGGCTGGGTGAGTGGCCGCCTGCAAGAGTAGCTTGGGAGGTCGGTTTGAGGCACTCTAGTCCCCTAACCTCACTTGCACTCACCTTGCTCACCCACCTTTCTCATTCAGGGAAGCTGTTTTCTTACGAGTTAGCTTAAGCTGGAGGTGTCGATTCGTTTGGCCTGGAATAATCACCAACTTGTGTCCGGGGGAGTTTTCGAAGTGACTTTTGAGTCGACTCAAAAGTCACCTCGTTTTGAGTGGACTCAAAAGTCACCTGGAGGTGTCGATTTGTTGGGCCTGGAATAATCACCGCATTGTGTCCGGGGGAGTTTTTAAAGACTGATGCATTTCAGCTGCCTGATCTCAGCTGCCTGCTCAGATACTGCTTGCACATATCATCTATCTCGCAATCCAGCCAAGCTGCTTCTGGGGCCACAGCTGACAGAAGGCGCGTCGCTGATCCTGTCCCCACTGGATATCCAAATGCTCGTTCTCTGCCTAGATCAGTCATTTCCACTCTCTCCCTCTCCTCCTCATCCTCCTTCTCCCACGTGCTCCTCCTCAAGCCGCCAAGCTGCTTCTGGGTCCGCAGCTGACGGAGGGCGCGTCACGGAGTCACTGACCCTGTCCCCTGTGACCTTGGCGGCATGGGCTGCCTACTCCCCCCTTGCTCAACTCTCCCTCTTCCGCCTCCCACACTGATCTCCCGTGCTCCCCCTCCAGCCAAGCTGCTTCTGGGTCCGCAGCTGGCAGAGGGGGCATCGCTGACTCTGTCCCCTGTGACCCTTGCGGCATGGGCTGCACTGCTTGTGAACGCCATTAACTGCATCCCTGCGGGCGAGCTGGACGGGGGGAGAATCGCCATGGGGCTGTTTGGTAGGAAGGTGAGCGTGCTGCTACTGTTGCCTGTTGCCTGTCTGTGGTCTGTCACCTGCCGTCTGTCACCTACCGTCTGTCACCTGCCGTCTGTCACCTACCGTCTGTCACCTGCCGTCTGTCACCTGCCGTCTGTCACCTGCCGTCTGTCACCTGCCGTCTGTCACCTACCGTCTGTCACCTGCCGTCTGTCACCTGCCGTCTGTCACCTGCCGTCTGTCACCTGCCGTCTGTCACCTGCCGTCTGTCACCTGCCGTCTGTCACCTGCCGTCTGTCACCTGCCGTCTGTCACCTGTCGTCGGTTGTCTGTCCCTTCTTTAGTCATCTGTTGTCTGCATAGGGGCCACTGTGCCCTGCCTGCAGCAGCACTGAGCACTGGCTACTGCGTCTGTATGAGGATCACTAGCACTATGTGGTGTTTCTGATGGGTGTTATTCACCTGTGCTCGCTTTTGCTGCTGCACATGTGTGTTGTGTTGTGTTGTGCTGCGTTGCTTGGCACAACGCTTCACGATTTACTGCGAGCTGAGGAACCATCACTTTTACCCCACACCTACCGCTAACAACCATTCTCAAGACCTTTCAGTTCATCTCTCCCGTTAACCCCATTCTCCCTCCTCACACACCTAACTTCCCTTCCTTTCCACCCAACCCCCCCTCCCCCCCACCCAACCCTCCCCCTCCTCTTCCCCCTCCCACAGTGGGCGTCGCGCATGTCCCTCGCATCGCTCATTCTCCTGGGCATCACGGGCATATTCAATGACGTGGCACTCTTCTGGGTGGTTCTCATTCCACCCATTCACCCCACTCTCGCTCCGCCCTCACATCTAACCCCCCTCCCTCCCCCTCCAACAGTGGGCGTCGCGCATGTCCCTCGCATCCCTCATTCTCCTGGGCATCACGGGCATATTCAACGACGTGGCACTCTTCTGGGTGGTGCTTATCCTCTTCCTACAGCGCGGGCCTGTCACTCCACAGGCGAATGAAATCACCCCGCCCTCTGACCAGGCTAAGATCCTGGGAGCAGCAGCGCTTGTGCTCAGCGTGCTTGTGTTTGCACCGCTGCCTGTGCCCTTCTGAAGCAGTGAAGCGGTGTGGTTGGTTGGTAGGAGGCCGAGGTTCACTCAGAAAGCATTATTTCACACATGCAGAGCAGACGTGCCTGATGGTTTGTGCTCGTGATGACACCCTCCCATCCTGAAGCTCAATGAGTGTTCCTTGCATTTACGGTAGTCCCAGAATATACTGTAACTATGGTCGATGATTTTGACCATGTACAGCAAGATACAAATGTCTGCCACCTGCGTTGTTGGACATTAGAGCGTATTCCTACGGCCTCATGTCAGGCCACCTTGTATCAAGATTGTAACTTTTTGCCTGGTAAAACTAGCGAGAGGTTTTGAGTTTAGGGGAATTTTCAGTGTGAGCCTGATATGAGGTTCACTTGATACGAGGTTAGGAATACGCTCGTATCAAGAGAAGACATGTCTGGGCTGGACAAGAGCACTGCCGCTGCTCACCCAAAAACCGCTTTTCTGGATGTATGCAACGTATACCACCTAGTATTCTAAGGTCAGCCCCCTTCACCCAATATCTTACTCCTCCCAAGCCAAACACTGAGGTCTGTACACCTTTAGCTCTGGCATTGCCAGTGTCAGGGCAGTCAGCAGGCCTGGTTGAGGCCAGCTGGTACCCCAGTACCACATCAAATCAGCTGCACCACCTCGGTTCCCGTCCACCTCCCTCCCCTTACACCGCCTGTCTCCCCACGCAAGGCTGAATGCTGGTGAAGCACCAAGAAGAGTCTAGCTGGAGTACGCTACTACAATGTGTACAACAACATGGTGGAGGAGGGAATGCTGGGAGCGAAGAGTCCAGGCTGAGTCAGAAACTTGTGCTGGAGAGTACAGCCCTCACTCCCATTCATCCTCCCAATTTTCCCCCAACCCACGCCTTCCTCCCTCCGCCTCCCCCTAAGTCCTTCTCTCATTTCTTAAACGGCTCGACTCCTGCATACCGCTCCTACCACACACTCTACTGCACACCCCACTGCACCCCACCATGCCACACTACCTTTCTAGCACCAGGTGATCACACATCACCTATCCTATATGACCTATCCATATCCCCTATCCCCTATCCCTAACCCCTATCCCCTTTCCCATCTCCGCTCTCCTTTGACCCTAACCCCGAACCCCTCTCCCCTACCCGCTCTCCCCTAATCCCTCTCCCCTACACCCCCTCTCTGCTATCCTCAATCATTTCCTTCACTTCTTCTTGCCCGCCGGCTTCACCTTCCCCATGAGCACCTTCCCCTTGCTCGCTCCTTTCTTGCCCTCCGCATCTGCCGGATCCGGAGGCGGGGCTTTGACTAGCGTCAGCGGTGCTCCGTCTCTCGCGGCCACTGCTGCTGCACGAGACTCGTTTGCTGCATTAATGAACTTGGTTACTTCCTGTGGACACGAGCGCGCCGTGGCAGGGGTATGTCGAAAAAGGGATAAGACGGGTGAGGGAGGGGACAAACGCGTAGGAGGACGAGAGGGTCAGGAGGCACTGTGGAAGCTAGCTCTCGCATCCTTAATTCGGTTTTTTTTCAAACAGTCGTTGCTCGGCTGAGAAAGTGTACCTTGTTGGCGTCAAGTTCGGAGGTGTTCTTCTTTGTCGCCTTCACAACCCTCCCTGATTTTCACATCAGCCAATTGCCACGTAATCGAGAAGAAAAAAGGGCGGAGGACGTAAGCGTTACAGATAAAAGCGGGGAAACAGAGGGAAGCAGGTAAGCGAACGTGGAAGTGAATGCTAACCTTTTCGAACTTTGATCGCCTTCCCATGCCGGTTCGGTGGAACCGCTTTCTTCTTTATGCCTTTAAACTGCTGCCCCTTCTGAACCATACCGCCTATTGGTTAGCGAAACGCAGGTGGCGCACGTGTGAATGGGATTTGCAATCGTTGGATTGCAGGCGGAAGAGGCTCGTAAGGAAAAACTAGAGTTTGTTGAAGCAGCTGGGACAAATGAATCAACATCCATGAGTGTGCTTTTTACAAGGCGAGAACCCTGGAAGGCGATGTTGGGTAACGACCGAGTGCACAACGTTTCGAAGGTGATAGGCAGCCTGCTGTTCATTAAATGGGTTGTGCACGATGCAATACAGTGCAAATAAATCTGGAGGTCCAAAACAGGCACACAGTAGCACAAATGATCCCAAAGCAAACCAGAACATCCATTCAACATTGGTTCACTCTTACAAAACTATAAACTTCAGATGAATGCTACAACATTGGTATCAATAATGTCCTATGTTAATACAAAAGTTAGCTACTACCGTACTAACTACAGCCCATATGGGTGAAGGCTGGCTGGTGCACCTGAGCTTAGCATCAGACCAAGCCAAATAATAACCCTTATTCCCACTACTGGGTCAACTTCAACAAAACTAGAGCCGCCTGGATAGTAGGTACGCCACGGGATACTGGAGGAGTTACACATTTGATGAGGCCTTGATCGAAAACTGCTCCTTTCACCTTGCTGATGTTGACGAGACTAGGGGCTGGCGGACACCAGTGACCGATATGCGGCGCCCAGGAGTTCGACCAAGCGGTTCATTCTTGAAAATTGAAAGCTCTTTCTCAAGCGTAGTAATCTCTCGTCGTGCTTTCTTGGTCTCCACATCCATGGCCTTCGTCAGTGTCTCCACCTTCTTCGACAGCATCTGCACCACAGACAAAGTTTGTCAGAAAAAATAAACTGGTGGCTACAACTTCAAGCAGGCAGGTGTAGTTACCTCGATTGCATCATCTTTGTCCTTGAGGCTCTGTTCCCTTTCAGAGACAGTCTTCCGCAACACAACCACCTCCCGCTGCATTACGTCGTATAGTGCACCAGGGACCTTGTCATCCTCTCCAGCTCTCTTAGGGCTTGGCTGGTAGTCAATCTCTGGAATCGGCTCGTTGTCCGAGGAAGTGGTGCTCATGCGTTCAGGGTCGGAACCAAGGGGGAAAACTTGCTTGGGGAGCTTCAAGGTTGAGGACGAGAGGGAAAGCCGGCCAGGTGAGATCCTGCCAGTTATCGACGACCTTAGAGGTGTACCAACCTTGAAGCACTCCTCCAAAACTTTGAGTCTAGTCTGTGCCTTTTCCTGTGCCAATCAAACCAGAAATACATCAGAAGGAACGAACAGGAGGACAACGATAAGACCTCAACTAAGCACACACACCTTCATCTGTGCTTCATACTTGGTTGCACGTTCAGCATGTGCCAATTTTTCCTTTAGCTTTTCCGCCTCTCCCTGCAAAAATATTCCAATCATTGGTTTAGCGTCAATGATCAATTGGTCGTCCAAAGCAATGAGCACCCTGTCAAAACGTACCACCATAACACGCCGCTCCTCTAGCCACTGCTTTACGGGAATAACCTTGTCATTATCATCCTTCCATTCGTTAGCAACAGCAGAAGCAACGCGGGTTGCTGCAATCTTTGCACGAGCCAGCTCGTCCAGGGTGATCTTGTGGGTGGCCTGGGACAACAGAAAATAGAAATGAGAACAAGTGCGTGTAGCAGCCGTGATGTCAAATAGCAAGCCTACAATCTGTACCTGTAACTCCTGAAGTTGTCGCTGGTAGTCCTTGATGACGCTAGTATAGCTCTGTGCAGCTGTCACGGCTTCACTCAAAGATTCGACTTGCGATGTAAGCTTCTTCACGTCGTCCACCTTCTGCTTGTACATGCGGTCAAGCGTCTTGTTCTCGTCCTGCATATAAGCTGTGTTATCAACTGAGGTCTCAAAACGAAAAGCGAGTGATACAAAACGACGTAAGAATCTACTAACCTGCTGTGCGTTAAGCTGGCGAGTCAGCTCTGCAATCTTATTCATACATTCATCCACTTGAGCCGCTTTTGCATTTGCAGCCTCCACAGCCTTCTCAGCGTCCAAAAGAGCAACTTCTTTAGTGCGCATGAGACGATCCTGAGCCCTGTTGTCCTCTTGCAGTCTTGACACCTGTTCAGCATCGAAATTTGCAATCAGTTGTGTTGACGTAACTAGTTCTTTCGTAACAACTCGCCTTCCTCACCTCTTTCTGCGACAGCTTCAACTCAGCCTCCAGTGCAGCAATCACTTCGTCCAACGCTGGACCCTGCTTCCCTTTTTGAGCTGCTTGCAGGCGTCTAACTGTGGCTTCAGCTGCCTGTTGCGCGGCCTGAGAAGCTTTACGCAAATCGTTGGCCTTCTTCAGCTCAAGGGTCTGCAGCACACACGCCATACAAAAGTGAGAAGGGTTGAACAAGAACATCTGGCGCTACAAAAAAAGGCAATATGCCATTCCACACCTTTGCGTCGCACTGCTGTTCAGCGGTTTCTAACTTCAGCTTCAATTTTGCAACCTCGTCGGTGAGCTGAAAAGCAAGAACGCAAAATCAGTCAGTGCATAATTGCCGTGAAACAGCTCACAACATCAACGAAAACAACTTACACCGTTTACAGCCTTTTCCATCGACTTATTTAAGAGCTTCAAGCCTTTTGCCTCTGCCGCGATCTTCTCAAGCTCCAAACTCTTAGCTGATAGCAGGAGTGTACAGTTGTTAGTCAGGATACCCAACGGATGCATGCGTTATTAACGAAAAAAACGTCCTGTAGCAATCATACCTTTCAGTTCATTCTCCAAACGATCTGTTTCCAGCTTTAGAGGGTTCGACGCATGATTTTGGCTTTGAGAATTCTTGTCATCTTGGCCTTTAGCAAACAGCGTTCTAGGTTTCACTCCATTCGCAGATCGTAGAGGTGACTTCCTAGATAGCAACGGGGATTGTGCTGGAGTTTTCGTCACAAGTGGAGATGATGTTCTGACATAGTTTCGTGAAGGGCTTGCTTCAGCACGGCTTGGTTCAGGTTTGGTTGCCATGGCGGATGGAAGTGCAAAGTGAAAACGACGACAGACTAAGTCATTCCACTTCAACTGGCTGTAATGGTTTAGTAGTCTCAGCAGAAAGCAAAATTGTTGAGTGTCAATGGACGAATTTCTAAGGGATTAGAGAAGAAGATGCCAGAACAAGCGAACCCCCACGAGCCACGGTCCACCACATTGGGAAGAAGCACCACCTCCGCGGCGGTAGGCACCCTGATCTGACACATTTGAAACAGACGGATTCCGCCAACTTCTGACAGGCACGCAACGGTCGCGCCATCCCATGACGGCCCACGTTTCCTTGTGTCTGGGGGTTTGAAATTTCGTTGCCCTCGCGAAACTGGGTCGTGCCAGGAGAATATCGAGACCGTAACACTTCGCTGTCCAATGAACTACTCGTCTCCGTTAAAAGATGCTTGGGTTGGGAGCAGGACGACGTGCATTCCGCTGGAAGTCCTGATCTGCTCAGACGTGCATTCAAATACGGTAGGAGCTGCGAGGAGCACTAGGGATTTAGTACAAACAAGATAAATTACATAGCATAGCATACACACACAAGCACACAAATAACATGGCAGTAGATAATTGATCACCCCCCTCTATCCACAATGGTTCTCAAAACAATACAGATGCTAGTTAGTATCTCCTCTTGTTTTGATAATTTGAATTTTAAACTTCCGAGAATTGGAAGGGCCAAAATTAAGTTGATGAATTTTCATGTTCGTACCATACATCGGCGTTTCTATGGTATGAAAGAGTTCACCCTTGTGCCGTATGCTTGTGCAATAAACAACAATGTCACTAAACATCACGTTTACTGAACTGATACCGTATCATGCCACGATGTTTGAAGGCAACTCAAACTCAGATATGGTATGCAACGAGGTGGCAGGTCACTAGACTGCGTTGTATTTCGTGAATAGGGTCACGAATTATTGAACCTTGCAACTTTGATGACTTATCAAAAGACTGCAGTTAATAAGGACGAAACTTGCGTGCATCCCGAAGCTTGGCAATGCGCTTGCGATCGCTGTCAAACTTCTTCTGAAGCTCCATCAGCTCTGCAATTGACGTTCATGCACAAAAGACCACGAAGAAGAAGAAAAGCACGACGAAAGAAAGAAAGAAAACAACCATTGAAGTGGCTGAGGGACTGACCATTCCAAAGGCGCAGGCCAAGATACAAGGTCTCCAATTCCTAAACCAGACACATTTGGCGAGCAACAGTGGGGCGAGAAATGAAGAAACCTAAAGAACACGGGAGAAAGTGATGAGGTGTTGAACAAAGTCGTGTTGGCAATATTGGATATATGTAACAGCCTTTCGGTATCATGCCTTTCCTCGTTTCACTCACCTTGTCGTCTCGCCTCTCTGTGCTGGAAGCGGTAGAACTTGAGCGCCTCAGCTGCTGCAGCCTGCTGCTTCTTCTGCTTCTGCTGCAGCTTTACTGCGAGGACCTGAGCGCGCGCCTTGGAAATTACACCCATGGAAACGCCGGAAGAGGGGTCGCGGTTGCGGCGAGATGCAGACGACGAACGCACGACAGTCCATCCATCGTCCTCCTGTGACCGTAGCGCTCTCTCCTCTGCCTCGCGGCGCTCCTGATGCACGTGAAAGACAGGAAGTGGGAGGGGGGGAAAGAGGGTGAGAGGGTAAGAGGGAAAAGGGGAAAGGAGAAAAAGGGAATCCGGGAAAGGGGAGGGGGATAAAAGAAAGACGGAAAGACGAAAGAGGGAAGGTGGGAACGAGGGTATGAGGTAGAGGAAATGGGAGAAAGAAGTTCAGGGTTGCATTGAGGGAAATGCAGGACAAACATAGGGAAGGGGAGTCGGAAACAGATGATGGCTGGAGAGAAGAGAGAAACGGTAAGTTCAATCCGTTGCAGTAAACTGCACTGAGAGAGTGGTGAGTGCAAAGTGGAGCGCGCGGGGGGGGGGGGGGGGGAGGGGGGGGGAGGGGTAGAGAGGCATGGTGTGCCAAGGGACAAAGGAGGGGGGGAACGGGGGGAAGGGGCATGCGCAGCGAGAAAAGTGGGGTGAGCGAGTATGGCGCTGCTGCGGCAATGGTTGCTCCCTGAATTGTGACACTGGCCGCGACAAGGGTTGCCAAGGGTTGTGACCGTGGCAGTGACACAGCTACAGCTTCATGTGAGAACGACAAGCAGGCTCTCATCACGCACCCTCTCGAGTCGGTCCTCATACTCGCTGATGTAAGCATCTGCCTCCGCCTGCAGATGCGCCAATCCTGGCCGTTCATCTGCATATGCGTTCAGCCATCCTGTGGGGGAGAGCGGTTGGAGACATACACACGGAATGAGGATTTGGAGAGACAGCGGTTGAACGCGAGAGAGGGGCATAGAGAGAGGAGAGTGACATGTCAGGTGGAACAAGAGGAGAGAGGGGCATGCTGAGAGAGAGGTAGCTGGCAAAGCTGGCAACTCTTCACCCGCTGCCGGCAGAGAGAGCTGCTTGCTGTGAGCAATACCGATATGGCGTGACGGGATGTGAAGTGGTTGTGGTGTGCAGGCAGAGAAGGAATATAATGAAAGCAGAGACCGATGTGCCTCTCGAAGAACTGACTGCAGTGTGCATTTGAAGTGTTCCCACCTTCCATCCCCCACGCAGGCCACAGCGGCTGCTGCGCCTCCTCCCCCTCCGCCTGCCCCTTCCCCTTTCCCTCCCCGTCCCCGTCCGCCTCCCCCCCCTGCATTGGCGGGTCGGGATCCGTAATCGTCGCCTTGGCCTGCGCCTTGGCTTTAAGAGACGCCTTCGAGGACGCGGAAAGCGATGCGGTCTTTAAGAGGCGCCGGAGGGACTCTGGCCGCGCGAAGACCACAACAGCGGAAGGCGCGGCGGAGGGCGCGGAGGAGGAATGGTGCAACCTGGCAGCAAATGCGGCCATGCTGTGAATGAGGTTGGATAAAGAGAGGGAGAGACAAAAGGGTAGGAAGAATCGGGAAATAGCACAGCAACCACAACCATAACCACAACCACAGCAACTACAAGCGCGGCTCGACCTCCTCCTTCCCCCAAACCCCACATGACCCCTCTTCCCAAAACCCCGCTCCCACCTTTCCACTTACGCCCTCTCCCCTCTTTCCTCTCCCCTCTGCGCTTCCACCACCTCCCCGCAAAGCCCGGGTGATTCACCTGCTGCCGTCCGTGTCGTCGCCTTCCACAATCACCCGGGATACATCGCCAAACTTCGCAAACATTGCACGCAGCTTTCGCTCGTTTCGCCAGCGGCACGGCAGGCCGTGCACCTCCAGAGCCCGGCCAGCCTCGCTTCCCCTACCAGTCTCCTCTGCTTCTTTCGTCTCCTCCCCCTGTGCTCCCCACTCCGCCTCACCATTCCCGTCCGCCCTCTCTCCCTCCGCGCCGGCACCTTCACTCTCGCTGGAAGGTCCTGCAATCAAGGAAGAAGTCGCGGCTTTACGAACAAGGAGCACTCGATCGTACGGTCTCGGTTTTTCCACGTGGATGAAAAGCTCTATAAGAGGGTTCGACGGCGCGGATGCTCCCACATGATCCTCGGGAGGCGTTGCTTCAGGCTTCGGTTTGGAGGAGTTTGTTACGGCCATGGCGAGTGGCGCGATGATGGGAAAACGGCGAGCTAGCGTTGTGCGCGTCTCAACCTTACCAGACGCTCTAGAACCTCTTTTCGGGAACCTTAGGTCTGTTCCAGGGTTTTGATTATGTGGCTTTATGAACACAGAATGCTCCGAAAGCACACTGATTTGCTTTTAGTAGCAATTGCGACTGCACTAGCGCGTACAATGCATTTTTTGTAACGCTTGGCTTCAGCAAATTTGTAGTGTACAGCTGCAATGACCCAAATGTGCCCAAATGACCAATGTGCTAGCTGAGAAAGCTGGTCCTTGCCATCTTCCCTCAAAGGGATGTGGCCATCAACGTGTGCCAACCATTCCTTTATATATTTTGTTCGTTGGTAAACAAACATCCATATTATAAGCTATTGTCTAATCTTTATATTCAAGCAGGAGGGATGTAACACACCCTGCTGAAATACTTTTGTTATTAGCAACCTATAGAAGTTGATAAACTAGGTGTATGATAGATGTCCGAACCATGCGCAGGGAACGGGCCATTGACGCGGATTTCGGGATATTCGAGGTCTGGGTGGTGTGGTGGTGTGGCCTGAAGATACCAATGGGCTCGTCAAGTCATGGCGTGTGGGGGGAACCTCGTCGATTTGGTCGGCTCACTGTAACGGATAGTATTTCTGCCACATTTCTGCCTCATATGTTGCCTCGAGAGATTTCGAACCTCTGCTGCACTGGCTCTCACGTGTAAATATTGGCGAAGGAAGCCCCCCCATACCTTTTCCGCCTGCAGTGTGGAGGGTACGAGATTGGAGGCACGGGTGGACGGAGGAGATTCAAGTATAGTTTTCAATCTCCAACCAAACCCCTTCGAAGTCGGCCAGCTGGGAGGAGCTGGATAGGCTTCACGCATCTGCTCCGTCCACTTTTGCCAGACGGGCACCCATGCAATCGCCACCGTGGAAGTCGGGGGTCCTCAGAAGCTTCTCCATGCCACCCATGTCAATCAGAATACGCTTTGGGGGCGTGTCACAAGAATCTGTTTGCAGTTCATGCAATAGGTGAAAAATGTTTCAAATCGGTGATGGGCGGAGAACGTTTCAAACCGCACTTAACCGAGGTTTGCCAGCCGGATGTGACATGTCTCGGTTCGCCTTTCGTGACCAGTCCATTCCATCACGGCAAGGTTCCTCAAATCTCCTTTCTCCGTCTCCGTCACACACAAGTATGTAGGCTACTTCCCTGATTTGAGGTTTCGTCATTGGTAGTACCTCAGAAAATCGACGATCTGATCTACATTCCGAATAAAGACCACACAATTTTATTCTCTTAGTAGACAACATTTTTTTAGAGCTTAGCTCTGCTGTGGTCTTTCTGCATGTGGCGTTAGAGATCCTTGTTGTGGTCTTGCCCTGACGGAGCACCTCGTTCCCCTAAGTGCCATCATGGCCTTTCATTCATCCGACCTATCCACTTGAATCCGTACCGCTTTTGTTGTCCGTGTAAGCTCTTTAGCACATTACATCTTACTCCGTAGGCTTTATCCATATTTTTTTTCCAAGCCACGACGGACTAGCGAGTTTCACCGTATTTTCATTTCGCCACTATCGCTCTCAAGATTTCCGAGCTCAGTAGTTGGCTTATTTTACGGGCTGAAGAAGTCGCCGGAAGGTTAGCGACTGTGAGCGATAATAGCGAAGGATCAAAGGCTGAAGTTTATCTGAGCCCGAACCAGGAGACTTGGTTTAGGTCACCAACTCGTCCATCGAGTTCCGTCTGCAGCGGGCCAAAGCTCTATGGCAGCCCCAACCAGCACGGCAGCAACTGCGAATGGAAGTATAGGCCGATCGTCCTCCTCGCCGCAATTCCAGTCGCCGAGCTCATCCAATCCCCTTCCCATCGCACCAGCGCCTGTTCCGCAGCCCATGATGCAACCTTCACCGCTCATGCCGTATCCACAATCTTCCGGCCCCGTGCACATGACGCCGCAAGGTTCGTTAATGGCGACTTGTATTCGGGTAGAGCGCCAGGCAGAAGAGAGAAGAGAGAAGGTACGGAGAGCGCCAGTTAGTGTATGTCGTTTCCGGTGAAAGAGCTGGGAGAGCAAGCGGGTGACGGTGACTGTGGGAGGACAAGGCGGAAAAGGAAAGGGGGCTGGATTACAGTAACGCTTTCTCTTTAAAATGGAAGAGCCAGGGACTAGCGCTGAGTTTTGAGGAAATATCTCTCATCGGGTGCTTGTAGGGTATTGTACGTGGGTCAGTGCCCCCCCTGATGCCTTTAAGTCTTGCGAGTTTCGTTGCTAACTCGTTTTTGGCATGTCCCCCCCGCCTTGTCGCCCCGAATCTGGTGGCAATGTCCGTGCGTTATTACGCGTACCATTCCTGTCGCCCTCATCCGTCTCCTCTTGCTCCGTCCTTTTGCCGTTCTTCGGCTTGCGTGGTTGCCATGCGTGCTTCCCCTGCGTGCAGCGGCGCAGAGTCAGATAGTGTGTACAGGATGCCGCACGCTACTCGTGTATCCTAATAACGCGTCCAACGTGCGCTGCGCGCTGTGTAGCACCATCACGCCCGTCCCACCCGCTGGTAAGTCCTCACTCCTTCCCTCCTTCCCTCCGTCCTCCCCTACAGCGCCTGCGTCTGTCTGTTCCACCCTTGCGTTGACGCCTCCTTCCTTCAATCTTCCTCTCCTCCCCTCCCTGCTCCTCCCACCTCCTTTCTTCCCTCTCTCTCTCGCGTCCCTTTCACCACGATTCTGCTTGCCCGCGTCCCCCCTTGCTTCTTTCTGTTTTCCCGTGTACTCGCTGCCCCCCCGACCCGCCGCGCAGGCACGGAGATGGCGCAGCTGGTGTGTGGCGGCTGTCGGACTCTGCTCATGTATGTGCGGGGAGCCACCAGCGTGCAGTGCTCCTGCTGCCACACTGTCAACCTCTCCATGGAATGTGAGCACTCGCTTCTTCCCTGCCCACTGCCCCCTGCCCTCTGCCCCCTCGTTACATTCGCCTCCTGCAAGTCCGGTCATCCCCCCCGCACCGCACAATTCTTTCCACAGGTTACTCTAGGAGTCCTATTCCACCTCACTCATCCACACCGCATCGTTGTAGTTTCGGTTACATATTTTCGTCGCCCCCCCCTCCTCCTGTTGTCACCTCTTACGCTCCTAAACCCCCGTGTATGCATGTTGTTTTGTTCACTCATCCGCGTCGTCTCCCCTCCCTGTGCTCCCGAACGCGTACCTCTCTCCATTCGCTCCACCCACCTGCTCTGCACGCTCGCCAGCAAGTCAAGTGGCACACGTGAACTGCGGCGGATGTGGCATGACGCTCATGTATGCGTATGGGGCTCAAAGCGTCAAGTGCGCCGTCTGCCAGTTCGTCACCCAAGTGAGCCTCGTCCCTCCCTTCACCATCTTATATCCTTCCATCGCACCCTCACCCTCTTGTTCGCCCTTTCACCCCAGTCTCTGACCCTTTTCTCACAACACCTACCCTCCCGCCTCAGGCTCATCTTTTCTCTGCCAGTGTTCAGTTGGCTCGTTGCCCTTTGAAAGTTCGTAAACCTTGCTGTGGCTTTCTGTCTTACTGCATGTGTGTCCCCCACATGCACGGCTCACATGCACGCCCCACACGCACACCCCACATACACGCCCCACATGCACGCCCCACGCGCCCGGATACATCACACATATATGACTCGAATATTCCTTATTGTTTTGCTCTGATGCTCTAACATCCAAGCTGCGTTTCTGCACCCTTTGCCTCCCACATCCCCTTGCCTTCCCGTCTCCCACTCCCACATCTCCCCGCTCCTCTCATCCCGCCTGCACTCATGCACGCGTTTCATTCTGACCCGTAACACGTACCTTCTCCACCCTGCATCCTCACCAGGTTGGTTCGTCTCTGCGCCCTCTGCCGGTGCAACAAAGGCAGTACGCCCCGCCGCCCACACAGCCGGCACAGGTGGCGCCCGCACAGAGCACCACCAGCAGCCGCACAGTGGTGGTGGAGAACCCTATGACAATGGATGATACCGGCAAGCTGGTATCCACTCTTTCTCTTCAGCTGTTTGTACCTTAGGTCATACACGCTGTGTTTTCCTGTGTGTGTGTGTATGTGTGTGTGTGTGTGTGTGTGTGTGTGTGTGTGTGTTGCATAGTCCATACCATTCTTTGTACCGTGATCCAATTCCGCTGGTTTAGGTGCTGGGGCAATGGCTTGACTTTCCCTATCCGAGCTTAAGCAATGTCATTTCCCTCTTTTTGTGTCTTTGGTTCAATACCTGATATTCTTTCTGGATTCGTATCCATTTCTTGCTTGGGTGCAGGTATCAAATGTTGCAGTTGGGATCTCCAGTGACAAAAAAAGCTGATGCTTTTGATTCATGTATGCCCATCTGCCCCTGGTTCTCTTGTCGTTGCCTTCCTTTTACATCCACTTGACCAACCTTTTCCATCACATTTCCCATCCCGCGAACCCCAATTTCCTGCCCCCCGCTTTCCTCCCTCATTTGATCACCCTCTCTTTCCTGTGCTATTCGAACTAGTGGTCAATCTCCCCTCCTCCCCATCCCCATCCCCCCCTTCCACCCCCCCTTCCCCTTATCCCTCTTCCCCTCCCTCCTTCTCGCCCTCTCCCTCTCCCTCTTCCTCTCCCTCTCCCTCTCCCTCTCCCTCTCCCTCTCCCTTCCCTCTCGCGTTCTCCTTCACTCTCTCTCCCCCCCCCCCCCCTCTCTCTCTCTCTCTCTCTCTCTCCCTCTCTCTCTCTCTCTCTCTCTCTCCCCTCCTCCCTCTCCCTCTCCCTCTCCCACCCCCCTCCCCCCACCTCCCCCTATCTCCTACTCATTTGTCTATTTTCCCCTCACTTCCCCCTAATTTTGTTTTCCATTTCATTTCCCCACCACCTCACCCCCTCCCTCTCCCCTTCCCACCATCTCCACTTGCTATCTCTCTTCATTCAACTCCCCCTTTTTCGCCCCACTCTTTCTCCGTCTGACAGGCCAATGGATGGGTAAGACTGCACCTCTTTTACTCTGAGCTGTACACTTAGCTGGATATACCCAGCGCGCGGCTTATGCGACCTGGAAAACCGACTCGTGTTTTGTAAAGCAATTGAAAACGGGCTACAAGGCAAACCATTTTTTTCCTCGTCCACCCAACTGTTTTCATGCTCCATGATTCACTGTCACTTGAGTGTTCCATGGATGCGTAGGAGTGGAAGAGGGTGGTAGAATGAGGTACCGTAGTAAGGCCACTTTTCAGCTTTATACTGTAGTAGTAGTGTCCTGTATAATATATGGTACTAGAAAGTTCAGGCAGTCTGCAGGCACCTTGTACCGTGTGCTGGTGCTCTTTCACGAGAAAAGGGCACGCAAGCGTGTTCGCTAGAACTGTCAGCCACTCCACCCCACCCATCTCGAATGATTCTCCATTTGCTCTGCCTGACACATTTTACCAGTCAAAAGCAATCCTGCTCAAGGTTCTGGTTACAAGGCGGGCACCGTTTCGCCTAAGGTTCTGAGAAGTTCGCACGCATAGCAACCAATTAACCAACAAACCATGTGCCACGTTTTGCCGTCGGGCACGCCATTTGCCGTCACGACTCACGCCGATGGAGAACGTTACGTGCGCCCTCTGATGCATTTTCGCGAAACTCCCACAAACGAACGTGGTTGGCTGTCGCTGGGACCAGTGCACAGGTGCATCGCTCGCTACGACTGCTTTGATTGGTTGGAGGTCTTCTTGCCGTCAACAACGAGGGGGTGGGTGCTCGTATGTTTACAGTTCACTCTTCGTGGCTCAGGACGGTTCCACACGGTGAAAAACGGTTTTCGAGATTCACCGTTTTGCACCGCGATGCAATGAATTAGACCGCAAAGAACGTACAGGAGACATACGACCTGGAAAACCCCCTCACAGAACAGCCGGGATCTTCCACGTTCGATGGGGTAACCGCTATGTCTGTATGTTTTCGTCGCACTTGTTCTCAATGACAGCCAGGGAAGTCAGGGAGCGAGAGCAATGTCGCACGCACGAAGACGACGACAGAGAAGCTCTCCCTCTCCCCTCGGCGAACAACCGAGAGGGGCATAAGAGGCAACAACAACCGCAGCATCATGTGCAGCAGCATGCACCTAGCAGCACCAGCGTTTAGGTCAGCGCAGCACAGTAGTGCGGGTTTTACTGGCAGTTGTTTCGTCGTGAGTGGGGAGTGGTGGTCGTCGATTTGGTGAAACAAAGAACGTGCAAACAAGCTGCCACCGAGTTTCCTAAGCGCATTAGCGAGTCAGTGGCGCGGTGGTTAGTAATGAGTTAGTAGTGTTCCGGCAGCTACCAGTAATGGGTGCAGACGATGCATCTCGAGACAGGTTGTGGAAGAGAAATCGGACGCTTGTTCTGGAAAGGAAGGGCGTTAGGTGGCTGTGCGCTCGTGGGGAGCAGCGGTCTTAGTAGGAGGATGGGTCTATTGGAACAGCGAGAGGAGCAGAGAGAGGAGAGCAGAAGCACGGAGCAGAGTAGGCTGCAAGGCAGGGAGGCGTGAGGAGCGAGGAGAGAACATTTACCCTAGCGTCTGTGTGTGGTGTGTATATTCTATTTGGAGGAGGGCTGCTATGTTCTTTGTTGACAGCTGTTGCTCTGGCGTTTGCGAGATTGCTAAGTAATAGCATGTTCGTTCTCTTTCGCGAACGCTTATCGCAGGTTAAGTTATTTCTCGCAAAATAGCAGGATATTTGACTGACGACTGACCGACGTTTTTTCGCAGTCATAACAGCAAAAGCCTTGGCCGCACTAGGAGACTGTACAGTGACTAAAGCAGCAGGAACAGTAACAACGATTTAGTGCTAATTGTCGAGAAGCGGCAATGTCGTACGATGTCGCGTCCGATGCTGCATCCGTCGCATGGACGGGCCTCGGATTAACTTCCGCCACTCACACTCCTTCCGCAACCCCCTCCACACTCTCCGCCTCCGCCGCCTCCCCCGGTTCCGCTGCCGCTCTCCCCGCATCAGCGCAGCAGCAGCAGCAGCGCCCCGCCACCCCCCACCGGCTCACGTGGAGCGATCAAGTGGTTGCGCTTGAAGGGGACGCGGGAGGGGAACAAAACGCGGAGAGCGGGGGCGCGGGGGGCGCAGACGGCGAGCGCGGGGCTGGCATCGGGGGAGGCGGTATGGGAGGCGGAACCGGGGGAAAGACGGCAGTGTGGGGGCTGTCGAAGCAGGACGCACTGAAGGCGATTCTGGGGGAACACGGCGCGGAGGCGTTCGGAATGGGGGGAGGAGCAGGGGGGAAGAACGAAGGGCGTGATAGCGGTAGGGCGGACAACGAGGTGGTGGTTTCCGATGGCGCGGGCGGCATGGGCGCAGCAGAAGGCGGGAAAGGGGGGGACTGGCGGGGAAACGGTAGTGGTCGCGGGCTGGTCGACAGGCGCAATGACGTGGACGATGATGACGTGGACAGCGAGGACGATGACACGGACGACGACGAGGACGGGGGCGGCAAGGGTCGGCGGCGGCGGCGGCGGGGAGGGGGTGGGGGGCGGCAGGGCGGCTTCCGGTCGCACGGCATGTGGTCGGAGCGCCTGCACTCCGACGGAGACGACTCGTTCGACGACGCGGATGATGACAATAGCAGCGGCAGCGGCGGCGGCGGAGGGCGGGGCGGGGGCGGCGGGGGCATGTCCGGGGGGGGCGCGCGGCAGCGCGACCGGGTGTGGCCGCTGCAGCTGCACATGCGCGAGTCGTCGCTGCTGGCGCAGTTGATTCTCGTGCTGCTGCTCGGCGCGCTGCTCTTCGGCGTTGGCGTGGCGACGAACGCGGTGTTCTGGATGGGCGCGTCCGTGCCCGCGCCCATCTGGTTCCCCGCCGGCTTCGCGCTCTTCGCCGTCACGGTACGCGCGCGCGCGCGCCACGCGCAACAACACACGCAGGCTCCTGGTCCTCTCGTGTCCCTCCTCCCTTCCCCCTTCCCCTCCCCCCTCCCCTTCCCCCCATATCCCCCCCTCCTCCCCTCTTCTCACATCATTACCGCCCCATGTCCTCCCGTCCGACCCCCTCCCCCTTCCCCTTCCCCCTTTCTCTCCCACCAACTTCCTCCTCCCCCACCCTAAGGATCGCCCGCCAGTGATTCACTTGATTCACTCATGCCTCTTCATCCATGCCCTCCCCTCATACTAACCCACCATGCCTTTATCACTTACTCCCCCCCCCCCCCCCTTCACCCCTTCGCCCTTCGCCCCCCCTTACTCCCCTTTCACCCACCCCGCCTGTCCCCTCCTCCGCCCCTTCCTCCCCCGTCAACCCCTCCGCCCCGCGCGCCCCCCTTCCCCCACGCGCAGGCGGCGGGGCATCGCGTGTTCATTGGCAACTTCCTCGGCTATCTCGCGTTCGCGTTTTATTTCCGCCTCGTGCGCCTCTCCATGCCCGCGTCCGCCGCGTCCGCCACCGGCGCGCTGCTCGACGCGCTCTGCGCCACGCTCGGCACGCACGCGCTCGCGCTCGTCCTCGCGCGCATCTTCCGCGCGCACCGCCGCCACCGCACGCCCCTCGACTGCACCCCCAACGTCTTCCGCTTCTGCTCGCTCGTCCTCCTCGTCCCCCTCCTCTTCCAAGGCCTCCAAACGCTCTTCTCCGCGCTCGCGCAAGCGGATCCCCCGCCTCCCCCGGACAGCCGCGTGCAGTCCTGGCTGTTCCGCGCCGTCGCGGACGGAATCGGCGTGCTCGTCGTTGTCCCCCTCTTCGTCCAGATTTCCGTGACCTCCGCGGGGAGAGGATCGGACACGTGGCAGCGGAACCAGTGGGAGCAGCAGCGCGTGCAGCAGCAGCAGGTGCGGTGGTGGCTACCCTGGTGCCTCCCGCCCTGCGTGGACTATTTAATCCAGTCCTGGCGCATGATCGCGTTTGTCGCGCTCAATGCGGGCGTGTGCGCGGTGCTCTTCGGGGGATTCGCGCCAGAGTCGTTCACTATATCCCTCATGTACACGCTGTTCCCCGGGATCGCGTGGGCGGCGTTTCAGTACAATCGGCGCGGAGTGAACCTCGTCGCGCTGCTGCTCGCGCTCCTGGGGGGAGTCACCGCCGCGCATGGGCGCGGACCGCTGGCGCGCGCGGATGCCGTGGACACAATGGTGCAGGTGCGCGGGGAGACGGAGGGAAAGGGGAGGGGGCCGGGGATGGGGGAGTGGGACAAAAAGAATGGGGGAGGGGGAAGTGGGATGTGGGAAGAGCGGGGGAAGGGGGAGAGTGGGGGAAGGGTGAGAGGGAAGGGAAAAGCGGGGAGAGAGAGGGGGGGAAGAGGGATGTGAGAGTGGAGAAGGGGGAGTGGAGAAGAAGGAATCAGGTTTTGGAGGGGATTGAATGTGTAGGGGGTTATGGGGGTGTAGCGGAACGAGGAAGGGAAGGGGGAGTCGAGTGGTGTGGCCATTGCATCACGGGGCAGCAGATTGCACGTTAAGCGAGGCACGTGGGTTAGGGAAGGGAAGGTGGGGTGGGGAGGTGTATTTTGAGGCGCCTCAAAATACACCTCACTGCACGGGGCAGCAGATTGCACGTTAAGCGAGGGACGTGGGTTAGGGAAGGTGGGGTGGGGAGGGCGGGTTGGACATGCGGAGCTAAAAAAGGACTGCTCTCACCTCCAACCCGCCCTCCCTGAAAGAGGAAAGCCGAAAGGGGGGAAGTGGTGGTTGGAGGGGGTAGGGAGAGGAAGGGAAGGTGTAGGGGAGGTCTTTTCAGCATTCCTCCCCGTAACCCCACCACCCCTTCCCCTCCCTTCCTCAGTGGTAGCTCAGCGCCTCAAAAGCCTCTTCCCCCTCCCCCTCCCCTTTCCCCTCCCCATCCCTCCTCCCACTCCCCATTCCCGCTCCCCTTCCCCTTTTCCCAATCCACCCTACCCATTCCCCTCCCCTTGTTCTCTCGAAACCCACTCCCCATGCCCTCCTCTCCCTCTCTCCCGTCCCCCGCCCCCACCAGGTGCAACTATTCGCAGCAGTGGAGGCCATGGCAGCGCTGGCCCTAGCAGCAGCGGTGCGGGACACGAAGCGGCTGCGAAGGGAGCTGCGGCTGCTGAACGCGTCGCTGGAGGAGGAGGTGGTGCGGCGCACGCAGGAGATCCGGCGGTACAACGAGCAGCTGCAGATGAGCCAGCAGCACGCCGAGGAGGCCAGCCGCGCCAAGACGGAATTTCTCGCCAATATGAGCCACGAGATTCGGTGAGATGCGCGCGAGTGCGGTGGGGTGCGGTGGAGTGCTGGTGGGGTGAGATGGGGTGGGGTGGAGTATGGGTGGTGGGGGGGTACGGATGAGGGGGTGGGGGTGGGGGGTTTGAAACGCCGAGGAGGCCAGCTGCGCCAAGACGGAGTTTCTGGCGAATATGAGCCACGAGATCCGGTGAGGAGGGCGCGCGGGGTGTGGTGGGGTGCTGTGCGGTGGGGTGGGCTGCGGTAGGGTATGGGTAAGGTGGTGGGGGGGGTGATGGCGAGGGCTCAAAACGCTGAGTAGGCCAGCCGCGCCAAGGGGGAGTTTCTTGCCTCTCTGTGTCACATCACTCCTCCCCGTTCTGCCCACCTCGCCCCTGTCTGTCCCTCTCTCCCCCCACCCTCAGCACGCACGCCCATCCACGGCATCATCATCGGCATGACTGACAGCACTGGCCCTCGACGCCCCACACCTCCACCCACCCTTACCTCCCTTTTCTCTCCCTCCCCTCTGCCCCTCTGCCCTCTTCTCTTCCCACCCCCCCTTCCGACCCCCCGCCCCCAGCACGCCCATCCACGGCATCATCGGCATGACAGCTCTAGCACTCGACGCCCTCGAGTCCATCCACTCCTCCCCCACCGCATGGGGCGCAGCCGACCAGCACCAGCAGCAGCACGACGAGTATGAGGAGCAGCAGGGGCAGGGCGAGGTGGTGGCGGAGGTGAGGGAGCACCTGATGATCGTGGCGCAGTCCGCGGAGTGTCTGCTGGGCATCGCCAACACCGTGCTGGACCTGGCGCGCATCGAGGCGGGGCAGCTGGAGCTGCTCAAAGTGCCGTTCGCGATTAGGGATGTCGTGGTCAGCACCATGAAGATGCTGCAGGTGAGGGGAGGGGTGGAAGGGAGGGAGGGATGGGGAGGGGGAGTAGAGGGGAAGGGGGAGGATGGGAGGAGGTGGACTTCTCATGGGAGGTGGACGAGGATGTAACAACAAACTCAAAAGTGCGCCACCGTGCAGAACCCAACTTCTCCTTCCCCTCCCCTCCCCCGTCCCCCCTTACCAGGTGCGCGCGGTGCAGAAGCAGCTGGACTTCTCATGGGAGGTGGACGAGGACGTGCCCGTGGAGCTGCTGTGGAGTGTGCTGCTGCACCCAATCCTTCTGCTTCCCCCAATTTCCCACTCCCCTTTCCCCCGTGCCCCCCACCAGGTGCGCGCGGTGCAGAAGCAGCTGGACTTCTCATGGGAGGTGGACGAGGACGTGCCCGTGGAGCTATTAGGCGATGCTGCACGCCTGCAGCAGATCATCATCAACCTCGGTGCGTGCTGCCGCTCGCTCTTTCGTCCCCTCTTCCGCCCACTCTTCCGCCCGCCCCCTTGCTCCCATGCTCACCCACCCGCTTGTCCCCACCCTTGCTTGCTCGCCTGCTCGCCCTCAGCGGGCTCCGTGTCGCTCACCATCCGCCTCTTTGCCCTTCTTCCCCGCTCGCCTCCCCATACTTCCCCATCTTCTCCACCTCCACTCCTCTCCACTCCCCCTCCTCCCTCATGCTTCCCCCCTACCCCCCCAACCCCCCCTCCTCCTCCCCTCTCCCACCTCATCTCACCCCTTCCCCTCCTCTTCCATTTGGTCCCCTGTCCAACCCCCTCCGGCTCCTTCTCCCCTCCCCCGCCAGTCGGCAATGCCATCAAGTTCACGTCAGCGGGGTCCGTGTCACTCACCATCCGCCTCTTTGCCCTCCTTCCCCCCACCCCTCCCCCATCCTTCCTTCCCCATCCTCTCCCTCTCCTCCCTTCTCCTTCCCCCCCCCCCCCCCAGTGGGCAACGCCATCAAGTTCACGTCAGCAGGGTCCGTGTCACTCACCATCCGCCTCTTTGCTCGCCCGCGCCGCCAGAAGGCCTACACAACGTGCTTTGCTCCACGCCCCCAGCGCCACGCCACGCTCTCCTTTGCCGCCCCTAGCTTTGCCGTTGGCGGGGGAGGTGGGGGCGTGGGTGCTGCTGCTGCTGCTGCTGCCGCTGCTGCTGCTGGTTCTGGTGGTGGAATTTCCAGTGCAGGAGCAGGATCAGACGGGACAGGGGTTGGTGGGGCAGCTGCTGCTGCTGGTTCTGCCGATGCTGCTGCTGCTGCCGATGATGCGGGTGGGGCTGGCGGCGGTGGGGGTGGGAAGAGCAGGCACACACGCACATCATCGGGTACTGACTGGAATGCCTCGGGTCTGTCTCGCTTATTCATGTCCACGCCCTTCCAGCGCCCCCCCAACGCCACGCCTGGGCCACCCACTGCTCCTGTTGCTTCTGCTGCTGCCCGTGCTGGTGTTGCTGCTGGTGATGGTGCTGGTGGTGGTGAGGTTGTGGGAGGGAGTGAGGGCGGACGGGCAAATGCGCTTGAATTGGCTGTTGCTGCTGCAGCAGCAGCAGGAATGGAAAAGGAAACTGGTAAGGAGGGGCCAGCAGGAGGGGAGGCAGCAGCAGCAGCAGCAGCGGCGGCAGCAGCAGCCCCTGCTGCTGCTGCTGCTGCTAGCAGTACTGGTGCAGGCGGCAGGTTCAGAGGCATCAGCTTAGCCCTATCAAATCTATCCGAGAGTTTCAACTCTACCAGACTCACAGGGATACAATCGGCAGGTGTTTTCGCCGACACTCCTGCTGCCCCCACCACTGCCACTCCTGCTTCTTCCTCCTCCGCTGCTGCTGCTGCTGCTGCTTCTGCTGCACGTCGGCCCCTCCCCACCCCCCGCACCCCTGCCACGCCCGCCGTCCCAAGCACACCCATGGCTACTCCTCAATCGGCCCGTGCCGCTGCTCGCCTGCCCCCCTTGTCCTCTCTGTACCGGTCTTGGAGCCTGGAGCCTCAGCGTCAGCTCAACCTGATGGCGCAGAGAGGCGGGCGAGGGGGCGCTGCTGGGGGGGCGAAGGACGCGAGCGCGGGGGGAGGTGCACGGGGAGGGGGAGGGGGAGCGGGAGGGGGAGCGGGAGGGGGAGCAGGAGAGGGAGATGGAGGGGGAGGGGGAGGGGGGGGGGAGAGAAGGATCACGGCTGAGAGAGGGGAGAGGCGGTGCTGGGGATGTGGAAGCAGGGGCGTTTGGAGATGAGGGTGGGGATTTGGAGCAGGGAGGAGGAGGAGGAGGAGGAGGAGGAGGAGGAAGAGGAGGAGGAGGAGGAGGAGGAGGAGGAGGAGGAGGTAGTGAGATTCGGCCCACTCGCATGGCCTCTACCTCTGGCTCTGTCTCTGCCTCTGCTTCTTCCTCCCTTCGATGGGCCATCCCTATGTCTCTTTTCGGCAGGGATGACAAGCACGGGGGCAGTGAAAGGGGTTTGGGGAGAGAGGGAGAGGAAGGAGAGAGAGGAGATGGAGAGGGAGGGGGAGAAGGGAGAAGAGGGGGAGGGACGTTGGCGACGTTAGGCGGCAGGGGAGCTAGTAGTTTCACTGCTGGTGCAGGTGCTGCTGCTGCTGCGGCGGCGGCGGCGACAGTGGAGGGTGGGAATGTGGGGCCAGGAGGTGCAGCAGCAGCAGCAGCAGTAGGAGCAGGAGCAGGAGCAGCGGCAGGCGGTAAGCGGTTGGGCAGAGCAGGTGGAGGGTCAGCAGGGCCTATTAGCTTCGCTTCCTGGTGGCCTCTTGTCACCTCGTCTTCTGCTTCTTCTTCTGCTGCTGCTGCTGTTGGCACTGCTGCTGCCGGCACTTCATCATCCAGTGGTGGTGCTGCTGGCGCAACAGCAGGCGGGCAGAGCAGTGGAATGGATTTAGAGATGGGAATGGGCTCACAGCAGCTGCAGCAGCAGCAGCAGCAGCAGCAAGAACAGCAACAGCACATTCAGCAGCAGCAGGCACAACAACCCGCCCCGTTCGCCCGCAGCAGCAGCTCCAACGCGCTAGACACATGGGCCTCCTCGTCCCTCGCCTTCCCTTCCCCTCCCGCAACCTCCTCCTCTGCGTCCTCCACCTTCCTCCCCTCCCAACCCCTCCTCCCCTCTGGCACGTCTTCCTCCTCGCCTCGCTTCCTCCCTCTCTCCTCCGGTGTGGCTGCTGGCCCTCTCCCTTCGCACTTCTCTCCCTCCCCTGCTGCCTCCGTTGCTTCTGCTGCTGCTGCTGCTGCGGGTTTGGCTGGGACTGCTGGGGGTACGGCCGGGGATTGGGGTAAGGAGAGGCGAGGGCGGAGTGGGGGGAAGGGAGGAATGGCGGGGTTGTTGCGTAGTAGCGGAGGCAGTGGGAGTGTGGCGGGATTGTTAAAGGAGGAGGAGCGGCAGAGGCGGAAGGTGAGGCGGAGCGCTATGAGCGATGGAGGAGAGCTGTTAAGTATTGTTGCTGATGAGATTGGTCAGGAGGAGGAGACCACTGGGAGGGGAGGCGAGGGGGGTGTGGGGAGGGTGAGGAGCATGAGGAGTGGAGCAGCAGCAGCAGGGGGAGCCGCTGGTGGGCTGGTGGGAGCAGTAGGAGCAGGAGGAGCAGGAGGAGCAGCGGCAGGAGGCGCGTCAGCAGGATCTGGGCCTAGTGGGGAGGGAGAAGGGGAGAGGGGAGGCGGGGAGGGAGGAGGGGGGAAAGGGGGAGGAAGGGGAAGTGGTGGAGCAACAGCAGGGGGAGGTGGAGGTACCTGGCTGTCTGGTGCGAAGGGAATGTGGAGTGTGAGTTCTAGCGCAGGGGGAGGCAGCAGCGGCGGCGGCGGCGGCGGGGGTGGTGGTGTTGGTGTTGGTGGTGGTGGTGCTGCTGCTGCTGCTGGTGGTGCTAGCAGTGGTGGTGGTGGTGGTGGTGTTGGCAGCAGCAGCGGCGGTGGTGGTGGTGGTGGCGGTGGTGGTAAGGGAAGCAGCAAGGGCGGGGTAAACGAGAGGTGGGTGATCTCTAGAACGCACTCACTAGATACAGCCAAGGTGAGGCGCGGACTTAAGGGAATGGATCTGATCGGTAATGTGGGAGTCTCTGTGGACACAGGGGGAGGTTCAGGTGGGAGAGCAGGAGCAGCAGCAGGAGGGGGAGGGGGAGGAGGAGGAGGAGCAGGAGCAGGAGCAGGAGGAGCAGGAGGAGGAGCAGGAGCTGGAGCAGGCGGAGGAGGGGGAGGAGGGGGAGGAGGGGGAGGAGGGGGAAGAGGAGGGTTAGGAGGAGTGGCGGGAAGTGGCGTGGGAGGGAGAGACAGCGAGGGAACGGAAGACGTGTGGCTGGTGGTGTGTGTGAGTGACACAGGCGTAGGTATCAGCACAGACCAACAGGAGAAGATATTCGAGAACTTTGTACAAGCAGACACGTCGCACACGCGCGTGTACGGAGGGATAGGGCTGGGGCTTAGTATAGTGCGCAGCATGGTGCACATGATGGGGGGGAAGGTGTGGGTGGAGAGCGAGTTGGGTACTGGCTCGTCCTTCTTCTTTACTGCTCGCTTCGCCAAGCCCAAACGCCAGCCTGTGAGGCCAGAGGGTGGGGGCGGCGTGGGGTGGGCGAGGGGGGACGGGTCTCCTTTGCAGCAGCAGCTGCGGCAGCTGGGTATTACTGCTGGTGGTATGGGAGGAGGTACTAACGCTGGTGCTGTTGGGTTTGGTGCGTCCGTACCTGTGCCTGCTTCAGCGTCTCTGCCGAAGCCTGCCGCCGCGCCTGTCCCTGCACCTGCTGCCAAGCCTGTCGCCAAGCCTGTGCCGAGGGTAGGGTCGGACAAGCAGCGGCTGTCAGCAGCGGCAGCAGCGCTCCAGGACGTGGCAGCACCGCTGCTGCTGGAGGCCCAGCAGGGACTCGCAACAGGCGCCATGGCAGCTGGGGCTGCTGCTGCTGCTGCTGCTGCTGCTGGTGCTGCCGTTGCCGTTGCTGGTGCTGGTGATGCTGCTGGTGGTGTTGGCGGGGGAGTCGGTGGTGGTATTGGCGGTGGTTTCGGCAGTGAGATGCTTCGAGAAGCTGCTTTTCCGCCACCTGCTCGCACCTCCAGTCTGCCCTTCGCCACCAGTGGCCCAAGTGACACAACGGCCGCCACTGCTCCCGCCTTCCCCGCATCTGCTACCAGTCCCAGCACTGTTGCTGCGTGGACGCACTCCCCTGCTCTCCTCGTGCCTGCCTCTCTCCCTTCCACTGGTGACTCTGCCTCTCATGCTCCTGTAGGGGCATCCGGGGGAGGAGCAGAAGGAGGAGCGGCAGTGGCAGCAGCAGCAGCGGGAGTGGAAGGAAGCGGATCATCCTCGGCCTTCCCTGTGTCTCCTGTGCGCCGCTTCCCCTCCCTCCAACCAGGCCCCGACTCGCAAGCAGCCCTATCAGCAAGAGGAGGAGCTGCACCTCTTGCTGCTGTTGGCCCCACTTCTCCAGCCTTCATTCCGTCGTCCCATCCCCTCACTCCTGCCCCAACCGCTTCCTCATCAGATGCGTCTGCCTTTGTTCCTCCCGCTGTCGTTGCATCGCCAGACGCCTTCTTACTGCCTCTCAGCGCCCCTCTTACTGTCTCCAGCTTCCCCAGAGACGGCTCACGCGCTCATCCTACTCACGTTGCCGCCTCAGCTGCTGCTGCTGCTGCTGCTGCTGCTGCTGCTGGGAGTACAGGCACGGGTACTGGGATGGGATCAGGGATGGGTACAGGTGGCTCTCCTCTGTTGGTGGCTGGTGGTGCTGATGCTTCCACACAGAAAATGCTTGAGCAGTCAGCAGCAGCAGCAGCAGCAGCAGCTGCACCCTCACCATCAGCAGCAGCAGCGGCAGGTGCGAGGCAGCATTTCAACCGCTCTGCATCGCACCGTTCCTTCTCGTTTGCAGGGGACCAGCCGTGGCAACCCCAGATGATGCAAGTTAATATCGTCTCGCAGTTCTACCAGTTCCCGCCTCGCTTCTTCGAGTCCCCTTCCTCCTCCCCGACTCGTCTCCGTCCCTCCTCGTCCGCCTCCTCGCTCCACTCCCCCGGCGCCTCCTCTGCTGCACAGTCTGCTGCTGCTGCTGGGGCTGTCGCAGCACCAGCTTCATCCCAGCACCATTTGCAGCAGCAGCAGCCCCATCCTCATCCCCATCCTCATCCCCATACCCAATCCCAACCCCAACCTCATCCTCATCCTCATCCCCATCCCCATCAGCAGCAGCATCAGCACCAGCATCCGCAGCAGCAGCAGCAGCAGCATCAGCCGTTCTTAGCGCATCTGCTATCCAGTCGTCGTCGGGGCCTGGAACCTCAGAGATCCGACCCTTCTGTCCTCGCAGCACACCTCGCCTCACTCGAGCCTTTCACTTCCCCCCGCCTTCTCCCCCTCCCTCTCAACTCCGCTTCCTTATCCCCCGCCATGCCGCCTCCTGTCCCCTCTGCGAATGCCCCTGCTTCTTCTCCTGCTGCAGCATCTGCTGGTGCTGCTGCTGGGTCTGGCGCCCCTCGGGCTGGTGCTGGGTGGTGGAAGGCTCAGGTGCAGGGAGGTACGGCAGGTGGGGATGGGCTGGCATTGCTATCGTTGCAAGAACAGCAGCGGCAACAGCAACAGCAACAACAACAGCAATTGCAACTGCAACAACAGCAGCAGCAACAGCAACAGCAACAGCAGCAGCAGCAGCAGCAGCAGCAGCAGCAACAACAGCAACAGCAACAGCAACAACAGCAGCAGCAGCAGCAACAACAACAGCAGCAGCAGCAGGCCAGTCCTAAGACAAGGACTGAACAAGGACAGATGCGCCTTGAGAATCAGGCACAGAATCAGCAGCACCTCAGTCAGCCCAATCCACCAGCAGCAACAGCTACAGCAGCTGCTGCAGCATCTGCCACAACAGTAGTAGGAGCAAGAGGTTCAGCTGCTGTGGCTGGTGCTTCTGCTGCTGCTGCTCCTGCTCCTGCTCCTGCTGCCGTTGCTGCTGCACCAGCAGCAGCAGCATCACCACTACCAGAACCATCGCGAGCACCAGCACCAGCACCACCAGCAGCACCTGCACCCACAGCACCAGCAGCAGCGCAGGCCCGAGGAGGGGGCGGCGAGGGGCCGCCATTGGCAGGGGTGCGGATACTGGTAGCAGAGGACAACCCAGTGAACCAGAAGGTTGTGTCCATTGCTCTGAGGAAGCAGGGCGCGGTGGTGGAGATCGTGGAGAATGGGCAGCTTGCTGTTGATGCTGTCAAGGCGAGACGTGACGCCATCGACCTCATTCTCATGGATATTCAGGTGTGTAGAAGGGTGGGGTAGGGTTGGGTAGGATGAAAATCCGATTGTGCAGGAACATGCTACTTTTTCTTGTTGTTCTTGCTTTTGGGAACAGCATAGAAAGTGGGTGACTTTGTACCGCCAGATTCCTGCCTGCCACCTGCTACCTCCAATGGGCAATGTACTTGTCAAGCAAGGGTCACCAACTGCTCCTTCTCCGCATCCCTTTCTAACTCCCTCCTCTTCTTCCCCCTTGTTCCGTACCCACGGGCCACTTCCAGATGCCAGTGCTGGATGGGTTTGGTGCCACAAAGGCCATCCGAGCTACGGAAGCAGCAGCCGCAGCGGAAGCGGAAGCAGCAGCATCAGCAGCAGCAGCATACAACCCTCCCCTGCCATCTCCTGCTTACAGCGAGGCCTCATCCTTCCCACCTTCCTCTGGACCTCTCTCCGGCCCTCTCTCCGGCCCTGAATCTGGCCCTCTATATGGTGCCCTCTCTGGCCCCATGTCTGCTTACCCCTCCTCTACCTTCTCCTTCTCTTCAGCCACCTCTGCTCCTGCTGCCAATCCCTACGGTAGCGGCAGTGGCAATGGCAGCAGCAGCAGCAGCAGCAGCAGCAGCAGCAGCAGCACAACTGCTGCAGCCGCCGCCGCTGCTGCCGCCGCTGCAGCAGCACTCGCAGACCCTCCAGGAATAGGCATCCCTCCCCGCAGCAGCGCCATGCGTCCCATCCCCCATCGGCGGCAGCACATGCTGATCGTGGGGCTGACGGCGCATAACATGGCTGGGTACGGGGACCTGTGCACAGAGGCCGGCATGGATGCATACGCCACTAAGCCGTTCAAAACGCCGGCTCTCGTGGCTCTTATACTCGAGACTATCAAGCAGCCGAAGGGGCAGTTGACCCCGAAAGGAGCCCCACCCCTTCCTGGGTACCCAGCAGCGGGTGGTGGGAATGGGGGAGGTGGAGGAGGTGGGAGAAAGGTTGAGGGAAGCCGGAGTAGCAATGCTGTGGTAGGAGGTGGTGGGGGTGGGGGTGGGGGTGGGGGTGGGGGTGGGGGTGGTGCGTCTACAAGGAGCACTCGGAGTGAGGGGAGCACCAGCTTCACAGTTACTCATTCTTCTTCTGCCTCTGCTGCTGCTGGTGCTGGTGGCACTGCTGCCAGTGGCAGCTACACAGGAGCAACCCCTCCCAACGCCTCTGCTGGCCTCTTGAGTAGTGGGAGCAGCAGCTTCAGTGTGGGTGTGAAGGAGGTGAGGAGGAAGAGCAAGGATGGAAATGGTGATGCGAATGAGAGCAGTGGAAAGACCGGAGGAAAACGTCGGAGTTTCCTACTCTGATTCTCACAAGGGGTTCAGTCAGCCTAAGACAGCCCAGATCATTAGTATCATAAGTGCCGTGTAATTATGGTTGTTATTTCTGTCGATTAGTTAGCTCTTTTATTAGCCAAGGTCATAAAAGGAGAAAGGCCTTGTAGCTCAAATATATTCGTTCGCGTTCTGGATTCGTTTTCTTGTAAGCTAGCTCTTCTACATAGTTTTTTGCCAAGCTCTATTTCCAAGGAGACCTTGTTAGAATTGCACCAGTTATATTCTGTGTGCTACACGACAGAGTACACTTCCCCTCTCGCCTCGCCTCGCCACGCAAGTCTTCTAGTCTCGCAAATATCAAACTGACAAAATATCAAGGTCAGTTGGTCTCGCAAGGCCTGGCACGGAGCAACCAACCGACTCTCCTCTCTGCCAGGGCGTTCCATTGGTTCTAAGGAGCTATTTCGCCGCTGCTTCCCTATTCCCCCTTGTCCCATCCTCTCACCTCCTCCTCTCATCGTTTCGTCTCGCCTCGCCTCGCGTCGAGTCGCGTCGCGTCGCCTTGCCTATCGTCTCCTCGCCTCGCCTCGCCTCGTCTGCCCCATCCATCCCATCCAGCAAGCATTCGCCGCAGCAGCCGTGTCGCCCTGTCGTGTCGCCACTCCCCTCACCTCTCCCGCCTCAATCCACTCGCTTCTCCTCCCTCTCCACCGCTTCTCTCGCCACGCGTTCACAGATTGTGGCGTTTGAAAGCAAAAATCTCTTTCCGCTGTTGCCGCCGCTGCTGCCGGCGCTGCTGTCGCCGCTGCTCTCGCTCACACCTCTCGTGACTCGTCCCATCCGTCGCTGCCTCGCGATTCTGAGTGAAGCACTTTTTGAGCAGTTGACTCGAGTCTGAATTGAAATAATACCGGCGCGGCACAAGCGGAGGCAATGACGAGTCGCACTGCGTTGCTATCAGCAGCTGCCGCGTGCCGCCAGCAGCGCAATCTCCGCCGCTTGCTCTCCACCGCGCCATTCTCTTCCGCCGCTGCTCCGCCACCCTTGCGCCCCTCCCCACCTTCCCCGACGTCCTCCGCCGCCGCCGCCTCCCCCGCGCCCACAAGCGGCTCCGCTTCAGCTCATTGCGCTGCTTCCGCCTCTCCTGCTGGTTTCCCCTTCGTCCCGTCGCGCGTTGCGTCATGCGTCCAACCGCATCGCGCATTCAGCAGCAGCAGCAGCAGCAGCAGCAACGGCGGCGCGGGCGGGGGTGCGCGCGGAGCGGAGGGGGGTGTGACAGGGGCGGGGGAGAGCGCGGCGGCGGAGAAGGACTTTAGCGCGGCGGATCTGGTGATTCAGGAGTCCACCAGACCCAAGGTGCGCGCAAGGACTGGGTGAGAGCTGCTGTGTGGTGTCCAGCGGTGCTGTGCGGTGAGTGATGTAACACTTACATACCTGCCTCACTCCCCACCCCAGTTTTTTCCCAACGTCTTCCTCTTGCCCCCGCCCCTCTCCCTTTCCACGCTCAATCCCCCACCTCTCATCCCCGTCTTCCCCCACCAAGGTCCCACTGCCGTTCCCCCGTCCCCCCAACAGCGCCCCACGGCGCCCCACAGCCCCCCTTTCCCTTCCCCCTTCGGGAGCCACTGAGTCTGCTCTGCGCGCTCTCGCGTTCAAGTCACAGCTCTCGCAGCAGCACATTCCTTTCGTGTTGCAACCCTCCCTCCATCTCCGCTCCTGCCTCCTCCATCCCTCCCACACCTCAACAATTCCCTCCGCCCCTCCTTATTTCCTCCCCGGGCAGGAGCCACTGAGTCTGCGCGCGCTCAAGTTCGGGTCGCAGTTCTCGGAGCACATGCTGCTGGTGCCGTGGCGCCGCCAGCACGGCTGGTCCTGCCCTGTTATCAAGCCCGTCGCGCCGCTGCCGCTGCACCCTGCCGCTCAGGTGCGTGCGTGCCTTGCGTGGGGGTGCGTGCATGCATGCATGCGTGCGTGCGATTGTGCGAATGTGCGCTTGGTGGCGGCAGTGGGATGAAAGGTGTGGAATGCGGTTATGATGATGCGGCCGAGTTGCTTCACGCGGGTGAAGGAGATGGGGAGGGGCAGGGGTAGGCGGGCGAGGGGGGGAAAGGGGAGGGGGCTGGGTTGGACTTGACAGCACTCCTCAAATATCCTTTTCTCATCACGACAGACCCTCCATCATCCATGCGCTACAGCGGCATCCCATCCCACCCTCAAGGCCACCTTTTCTCAACATGTCACACCCTTTCGGCACCGCGTCTCTGCACCACCCACCACACACCCTGCACCCACCCACCCCACGCACATGTGCGCAGGTGCTGCACTACGGCATGGGGTGCTTTGAGGGCATCAAGTCTTTCCTCCCCTCCCTTGTGCACCCCACCCACTCGCCCACCAACCACCTATCCAACCGTCCATGCAACCCGCACATGTGCGCAGGTGCTGCACTACGGCATGGGGTGCTTTGAGGGCATCAAGTCTTTCCTCCCTTCCTCCCCTCCCTTGTGCACCGCTCTGCACCCACTCTCCTCGCACCCCACGAACATCTGCACAGGTGCTGCACTACGGCATGGGGTGCTTTGAGGGCATGAAGGCGTTCAAGTCAGGCAGCGGCATCATCCGTCTCTTCCGCCCCGACAAGAACATGGACCGCCTCGCCTCCTCCTGCCACCGCCTCAACCTCCCTGCCTTCAACACCGTGAGCGCACCCCCCTCTCGCTCCCTTCCCTCCTCAAAAGCCCCACTCCACCCCTCCCCTCCCCCCTCCCCGCCCCGCCCCCCCCGCTACTCCGTCCGTCCTCTTTTTGTTTTCTTTTCTTTTCCCCGTTTCACTTCCATCCTCTTGCTGGTCTCTACTCTTCTCTCCGCTATTTGTCCTATTTGTCCAGCTTTTCTTTCCCCCATCCTTCTCGTCTTCCCTCCCTTCTCTCTTCCTTCCTCTCTCCTCCTCGTGCAATTCTCTTTAGTCACATCCCACCTCATTGTTCCTGCCTCACACAACGCGAGCATGTATTGCAAACTCGCCCATCCTTCTCTCGCATTACCCTCCCACTCCCCAGGTGGAGTCGAGCTCCTAGAGTGCATTAAAGCCCTGCTCAAGCTCCACGAGCACTACATCCCCGCCTCCATCCAGTGCCCTGTCGTTTTCCCGTTCCCCTCCCCCCCCCCCATTCCCTCCCGCCTCCCCCATCCCCACCTCCCCCAGGTGGAGCTCCTAGAGTGCATTAAAGCCCTGCTCAAGCTCGACGAGCACTACATCCCCGCAGCGCACGGCTTCTCTGCCTACATTCAATGCCCTGTCTGTCTTACCCTCCTCTTCCCGACCATTTCTTCATCCCCCCACCCCCCAGGTGGAGCTGCTGGAGTGCGTCAAGGCCCTCCTCAAGTTGGACGAGCACTACATCCCAGCAGCGCACGGCTTCGCCGCCTACATTCACTACCCTGTCTTACGTCCTCATCCCGACCATCTCTCCAACCCCCCATTCCCACCTCCCCCCACCCTGCAGGTGGAGCTCCTAGAGTGCATTAAAGCGCTGCTCAAGCTGGATGAGCACTACATCCCTGCAGCGCACGGCTTCGCCGCCTACATCCGCCCCACGGTCATCGCCACCACGCCCTTCCTGGGCGTCGGGCCCCCCACAGACGTGCTCCTCTACGTGCTGCTCTCCCCCGTGGGGCCCTACTTCCCCTCGGGCCTCAAGCCCATCCGCCTGCTCGTGGACCAGGAGCACGCACGCGCGTTCCCGGGAGGCGTGGGGGATAAGAAGGTGGCTGGGAACTACGCGCCGACCATCCTGCCGCAGGTGCAGGCTGCGCACAAGGGGTGCTCCCAGGTGCTGTACGTGCTGAAGGACAGAGAGGGCGCGGAGGGCGCAGGAGCGGAAGCAGGAGCAGGGGATGGGGAAGATGGTGACGTGGAGGATGGGCTGGTGGGCGAGTCGGGGTCGATGAACGTGTTCTTTGTGTTGCGCAAGGAGGGAGGCGCGAAGCACGGCACGACTGGCGTGGAGCTGGTGACGCCAAGTCTTGACGGCATGATATTGCCGGGTGTGACCCGCGACTCGGTGCTGCAGCTCGCACGCGCGTGGGGAGACATGGATGTCTCTGAACGGCCGATTCGACTCAAGGAGGTGCGTGCGAGGCTTGGATGCCCGTGCCTTGCCCGTGCACACACGGACACGTTTCCTCCTGCGTCTCTTCCCCACCTCACCCCCTGTCGCACCCTACACACACACACGGCTACACTCCTCCCTAACCCCCACCACACCTGTAACACTCCTCCCGTTTGAAGCATAGCAGTGATTAATTTGGTCAGCGCTTGCATTGCAGCAGAGATACACCACCACTACCAGACCTGCTCTCCCTTACCCACTCCTCTCCTACCTGTACCTTCCCGTCTCACTCTAACCTCCAACCCACCAACACAACCAACCCAACCAAACCCAACCCCTCTTTCCCCCAACCAGATCCGGCAAGCGCACAAAGAAGGGCGTCTGCTGGAGATCTTTGGCACAGGCACAGCCGTGGTGGTACAGCCCGTGTCAGCCCTAGTCCTCCCTGACGGCACCGAGCTCTCCACACCCGTGGAAGACGCCACGCTGGTGCACTGGACCAGCAAGAAGCCCGGGCAGGCGTGGAACAAGCCCGAGGATTGGGAGCCGCTTAGTGTGGCGGCTCGCGTGCACCGCGCACTGATGGATATTCAGTATGGGCTTGTGGAGCACCCGTGGAGTGTGAAGGTGGAGTGAGGATGAAATCTGAGGGATTAGGTGGACTGGAATGAAGAGTGGGTTTGGTGAGGAGTGTTTTGGCATGGACTAGGGGCAGCGCTATCTTGTATAATATTGGTGAATTAACTCCAGTATGTTCTTTTATTGCTTGTGCTCTAATTCATTTGCATCATGTCAGCCGTTTTTAGATTGGCATTAGCAGCCTCGGTGTCGTGAAATACATGCCTATAATAAATTACTCGTTTATTAAGCGATGATAATTTGTCATTCCAAGTGTTCTAGCAATTCAGGTTGGATTCC